GTCAACCCGTGAGTTGTATGTTTCTACCTTTTTGTCATTAGCCTCGATTTTCTTTTCACCTGATTCGATCCGTTTAGTGAGCTCTTCAAGCATCTTCATAATGGCGGGGTCAGTCCCCGATCATTGGCATTCGATTTCTCTGGTACAGGTTCGATTCTATGAACAACTTCTTGTGATGTTTCGAGCTCGATTCTGCTTGGTGCTCAATTCTGATTTTGGAGTTGCGCTACTGCCGCTTGTTGAGTCTACAACATTTTGAATATCATTCGAAGGCTAATTCCGCCTCCCCCCCTCCCCCCGCTCTATGTGTTCTGATCGACCGCTCGGGCATCTCTGAGGACACTATTTCCAGGGTCGACGCCTAGATTTGCATTTAGGGAGACGTGCGAACTAACATCGACGGGGTCTGCGATCGGTACTCCCTCGTGGCCAGATTGAGGCACTTCGATCCCTGGGGCGGCTACATTATCGTTTTCTCCATGGAAACCGAGGCCGTCATCGGCGTGAGTGGGTACTGCTTGCGAGTTAGACATGTTGATCGAAAATCAAAAACACTTACAAGAAAAAGCTTAAAGTAGTGTGTGTTACAAGAATTAATGCTAGGCAATCACTATTATCTTTAGTACTATTTATAACTTCATCATCATTTTACTATCTTGGCAACCTTTAATAAAAGATAAAAAGAATATATATATATATATATATATATATATATATATATATAAAACTTCCTCGTAATTCTTGAGAAGGATGGATATATATCTCCTCCTCGTAATTCTTGAGAAGGATGGATATATATCTCCTCCGAATTTTACGAAAAAAAGAACCAATTCTTACAATTTATGGCTTGTTTGGACGTACTAAAAGTCATAGTCGTAAACACGTAGAACAGGCGTAGGAAATTTGACTTCAGTAACAACGCTAGAAAACAAAGTCCTGCTGACTCAGCTCCTATAAATCTAAAACTCGATAAACCTAAGCGTGTCTTTTGTAGGTAAATTGTTATGATAAGCATTATGCACTGTCGTTTGGTACGCAAATTAAATTATCTCGAAATAATAATTACTAGTTTATCCTACCTGGGAGGTGGGATAATATAATCCCAAGTTTGATAGGATAAGGTGGGATATCATGTATTAAGACCGGAATTAAATTCATACCATATCTACAGAATAAATTTATACCGTCAACCAAACATAATATAAATTTAATCTCATACCTTATTCCGTGTACCAAACGACCCCTTAGTAGTCTGTTAAAAAGTTAAAAATTGCAACTAATATGCTATAAACCTATTAAATTACTTTGGAAGCGTAGAAAGAATTTTTATGTTATAAAGCATATAACTTAAATTCAATCTTTTTCTTTGTAAATTGAAATAGATAATATAAATCCAATCACCATAGCTTGTCAATATTAAAAAAAAAAAAAACCTTAAATAACCATTATGTCATTGTAAAGGTGGTCCTAGAATATACCATGATCGGAGTACTCAAAAATGCTATTGTCGATTCCGTTCTATTAATAAAAAGGAAATTCTTGTACACACAC